CGGTGAGAGCAGCACTGAGGACTGCAGGTTGGTTACTGGGTGGTGTGAAGCAAGAAGGGGAATTTGCATGGAGCATTGAAAGTAGAGAATGGCTTTTAACAAATGTCAAGGAGTAGAAGTAGAATACCACTTCAAAGAGTGGCACCTAGAAAGTGCAGGAGCAGAGAATGTGTAAGGCACGTTTAGGGATTGGTAGAGTTTCTGGAATCCTTGAGGGCCTCCTCAAGAGTTTTAGATGCAGGAGCCTCAGCATGGCTTTGTATTGCTTGGCCTTCTTATCTGCCTATGGCTTCCCCTTCTCAGCGACATCCAGCTTGGGCTTGATGGGGTCAGAATTGCATTTAAACACTGCGTCTGGCAGCAGTGAGGATGGATGGGAGAGGAGCAAGAGTGGAGGTGGGTGGGGGGAGCTGAGTGGAAGGGGAAGGTGGGTGGGAAGAGGCTGCTGTATGATCCAGGAGAGAAAGGATGAGAATCTGAAAAAGGTAATGGCAGTGGGGAGGAGGAGTACAGAAAAGATACAAAGTTTCATGTGTTATTTTTGAAAAATACTGTTTTCCATATTTTTTGCAGTATTCTTTATATAAAAAGGACCAGTATTTGAATATTATTTTTATTCCATTCAAATCTAGTCATTCAGATACTTTTAACTCAAAGGGACATCTTAGAAGTGGCTTGTTTTTGTACATATATAGGTGGTTTTGCAGAAATAACTTCTCTGACATAACCATTTGAGTTCTTGGGTCTCATGGCAATAGCTTGGGACAACATGAATTTGAAGCATAGCTTCTACCATTCTGTTCAACAAAGGTGTTCTAGAGTTTACTGTGTGTCAGACACTGTACTAGACATGGTAAACGTTGTATGTTGAAATCTGACAAAATACATTTATCGTTTTTTCCTCTTTGGCTTTGGTCTCCTTAAACTCTCCCGAGTGTTGTTCCTTCAGCTTAAACTACATCGTCTCAAGCCTGTATTATGACAGTGTTCTCATGTCTGTCCTCTGCCTCTAATCCTGACCACTCCCAAGATATCATTTGTAGTTCAACAGAGCCGTCCTTCTAAATAGAAATCTGATCATATCACTCGCCTGCCTAAAACCCTCCAGTGACTTCCCATTGCTCCTGTGATAAGAACTTCCAAAGCCTTTAGCAAAATACAAAAGTTCTTAACTTCTCTAGACTAATTTTCTACCTCCCCCATCTCCTGTGCACCAAATCTATTTCATTTTCTCAGAATGGCAAATCTCTTTGCATGGTTTTTCACCTACTTTTTTTATCTCCAAGCTGGTTATGGCTTATATTTTAGAACTCAACCTAAATACCATGCCCCATGCAAACCATCCCTGCCTTTGTGTTGAGTTGGGTTCCCCTCCCGGATGCTTTCTTAACACCCTGAGCTCACTCTTACTGTAGACCTTTAACACTGTGGTTTCATAAACACCTGTTGTCTTGACCAGCACTGCCATTACAGTAAACCACTGGAGGGCAAGGGCTGTGTATTATCTTTTGTTTTACTTCTGTGGTCTAGCAGAGTGACACTGAATGAACAAGTTAGCATTTATTCATTTATCCATCAAACATTTATCTAAAGTATCCACTCTGTGGCAGGCACTGTGCCAGCTGCTAGTTTGGTGGTGAACAAAAACATACATGGTTCCTGTCCTCATGGAGCTGAGAGAGAGAGAGGCACAATTCACATAATTATGCAGAATGTGACACTGCAAATGTGGCTGGTGCCATGAAGGAGAAGGAGATGGTATATTGAGAGGGTTTGACCTAGTCCGTGAGGTGCAGGGAGTTCCCCAGTGTGATGGCACTTACATTGGGACCTAATTGAGGCTGGATGAGAAGACGACTTCAGACACCCAAAGGAATCACTGTGTGCCTAGGCCTCACAAAAGGAGATACCTGGTGAGAACAAGTGATTGAAACAATCCTTTGTTGCTGCAGTGAGAGAGGGAGAGTTGATGGAGAGGAGGTAGGGGCAGACCAGGTAGGGCCTTCAGCTCATATTGGTGATTTGCCTTCCCCTTAAAGAAATCCAGTGTAGCTGAGGAGAAGGCAGACTCTTCGAAAGGAACAATGTCAAGGGGAACAGAGATTACTTATGTATCTATAACTATTTTATCCCAGAACGGTTTTTTTATTTTGATGGTTATATATAGTTACCTTTAGAGTCTATCATCTAAAATCTTTATTTCACCCTCTTTCCTATGGCCCCTTTTTGCTAATCTTCAGCATATGTAACTCAAATTTGTTTTAGCTGAAATAGATCCAGACAGCATCAAGATGACTCAGGGTAACATGGGTGACTTGGTTTTATATCACCTATTCTTTCGACCCATTCATGTGGCCGGTGTGCACATCCTCAGGTTACTACAGGCTTTTTGGTAAGAAGATTTGGGGATTATTCTCATTCATTACCCTGCTGGTACTTCTAATATGAACTTGAGTGATTTCGTCTAAAGAGGGCTTGAACATTCTGTGATGTCTCCAGCTGTTTTTCTCCTTTTTCCCCCTCTCCACAATGTTTCTCATGTCTACTAATTAACAAATAAAGTTTTACATTTTCTTCAGGGCTAAATAAGAGTTTCTAGTTACCAGTAAGGGGAGTATATGAATGCTATTTGTCCTTTTCTAAAAATAAACACTAATTGAGAATTGGCTGTGCATCATGTACTCTGCTAAGGTATTCACAATACAGAGAAAAAAAAGATACCGTCCGGGTCTTCATGTTACTTATAGTCTACTGTCAAAGACAGATTAATACATATATAATTTCAGAATTGGTGTGATGAATGCCGTTATAGAGGAAGGCATAAAATGAAAAACAGAGAAACATAGAGGAGGAGATCTAACCTAACTGGACTTACCTATCTCACCTAGGTTGAGGCAGGAAACCCTACCAGAAAAGGTGAAGGCTAATTTAAGTCTTAAGGATAAATAGGACTGAGCCAGAGAAAGAACAAAAGAAGAATAGAGGTTATTCTGGTTAGAAGAGGCTATGTGGGCAAAGACACAAAAGGTGTTAGTGAAAGAAACACATATGAGGCATTGCATGTGGTTGAAAGTAGTGGTGGCATAGGGATCCAGGTAAAAGATGAGGCTGCAGAGGTGAACAGAAGCCAGATCACGAATGCCCCAAAGTGGGGTCATAGACATACGAACAGGCAGGAGGGAGAAAATTCTGTAGACTCCACCTTAAGGTAGAGCCAGAACCCAACCACTTCTTACCATCTTCACTGCCACCACTGTGGTTGTAATCATCACAGTTTATTCCATTGGTTATGTAGTCTTACTATCCTTTCCCTATTCAATCTGTTCCTAACACAGCAGCCAGAGTGTTTAGAACATAAGCAAACCATGACACTCCTCCATTTCAAACCCTCCAATGGTTTCCCATTATACTCATTATACAAACCTAGGCACCGACAGTTCTCCTTAGTACTTATCACTAGGTGAGAAGCTGTATATTTTATTTATGTTATTCATCGTTGTCTCCCTCAGTAAAATGGAAACTCCATGAGGGTAGGATTTTTTTGTCTGTTTTATTCACAGATGTGTCACCAGCGTGGCCCCAAGTTGGCAGTCAATATTCATTGAAAGAAAGAAAGAATGAAATCTCAGATATAGCATGGTATTCACCCCATTAGTCATTACTGAACAAATTTATTTCAGCTCATCCCACCTCTGCCCTCTTTTCGTCTGCCTTATACCACTCTCAATTCAAACTATTATGTATTCCTGAAAAGAACTGGTTTCATGAATGTATATTAGCCTATATCTATTCATAATTCCAAGTTGATTTTTGTTCTTAGCCAAGCCTGGACTAAGTGAATACATGCTTTTCTTTCTTCTACCAACTCCCCTTGCCTGTGATGAGTTCTTAGAACATGATTAGATCCATGTGTGCAAACCAGGGGTGAAATCTTGGCATTTCAATGAGAGGAGAGCAGTGTTGTGACAAACTGTAACAAGAGCTGAATGATAACAGTCACCAGGTTCCTAGTGTAAATCACATCCTCGTTGTTTAAAACCACCCTCTTTATTCCTTGGATTGGTCATACTCTCGCTCTTGGTACTGCTGCTTCCATGCTGTGAAAACGGACTGCTCTATTTTCTCAGGCTCCATAGTGGTATCAAGTATTTGATTTCTTCATAAATAGAGCAGAGAAATATAACCATAGAATAACATTGCGGACACATTTAACAATATTTATTTAATGAGTAAAAGAGCTAGACCTTTTGTTACATTGTCTGCTCTTCCAGTCAGCAAATGTTACTATGACCATTGGGCAATGTTTGAAATCAGCCTATTCGGATTAAGGGAGTGTTTATTACCTTAATGATGATGTGTAACAGATTGTTAAACATTTACTTTTGTATGTTATGAAAGCTGAGAAATGGCCCACATACCTTCTCTACCTTGCTTTCAGATCCTTAGGTAAAGTGAGTACTGTCTAGATGAACAGCATACTACTCAGCACTGTCCAGCAGAGAAGGCAGGGTGACTGCTTTCAAGGTGCTTATTAACAACAACAACCAGTACCACTACTGCCCTGTCACTGTTTACTAAGCACCTGTGATATTAACAACTACTATGGTTTAAATTGCTATAAGATGCTTTGCCTCTGTTACATCATTGAAAGACCTCAGTTACTCTATGGAGTGGGCATATTTCTCCATTGTTCTCATTAGAAAATTGTATGTAGAGAGATAAAAAATAAACAAATAGTAAAAGTAGCTTTGACTTAAGTCTTAAACAATGATTCACTGTTACAGTAGAGAAGTTCTCTACCAAAGCAGCTGTAAGATGCAGCTGTATGTTTAATTGCTAGGGGGAATAATATGAAGAATATTAAGTCCCCTCCTTCAAGGAGTTTAACTTACCAAGCAAAGTGAGTCAGTTTCCTTTGGTAATCTTAATTTTCCTCTGGAAATGACTAGATAGCAAATATGAGTCTTTTCTCCACATGGTTTTGTTATCTCTTTCTACAGAAAGGAGCGGGTTATCACTTGGATCTCTTTTGGGTGGCCATCCTCATGGTGATATGCTCCTTCATGGCTCTCCCGTGGTATGTAGCTGCTACAGTCATCTCCATTGCTCACATCGACAGTTTGAAGATGGAGACAGAGACTTCTGCACCTGGAGAACAACCAAAGTTTCTAGGAGTGAGGTGTGTTAACTCAGAGGAAAATGGCTCTTCAAAACATACTGTGCACACATCTATGTGGCAATCATAAGGAAATGGGCAGATTTAGAGGAGATAGGGCTTGTGATGATTAATTCATTCTTACATTTTTTTTTTTTTGTTCCAGAAAGGACTAAATTTTTATCACAGTTTTCAGTGATCTTTTTCAGTTTACTCCTTGTGATATATCATTTTCATTGATTTCCAAAAGGCTAAATGTTGTAATGTAAAAACACAAGATCATTTTTTTCTTCAACATGCAGGTGATTTTGGTGCTGCAGTGTTGATGCTATCACAATCACATGTGAAGGCCCTAAAACTCTTGAGTCTGTTTATGACTTTTAAGATTCTGTAAAGGGAAAGATATTCTTATTTTCCAATTCTTTTTCTGTCCCCATAAACACTGAGAAACTTTAACCTCCAGCTGTTCAATTTGGGTAGATGTGAAGGGCAGAAGTAGAAGGTTTTTATAGTCTGTTGAGTACTTTTTACAGCAAACTCTGCTCATAAGTGCTTGGGTAGAGAGCTCATATGACAGAGCCATTGTATCCCTTGCCAAAACAGTGGGTGATTCTTTTTTGGGGGATAGGGGAGGGGTGTAGGATGGGAATTATATTTGTTTAAAAGTACTTTTATTATTGTGGATTTGGAAATTAGACTGATGTGATTTATTGTGCTAATGAAATTTCCTCGAGCTGTTTGTTAATTAGAATATGGGACAATGTAATATCTGTCTCCTATGAAAGAAGATGTAAGGGTAATTACACAAGAGGATAAATTGCTTTAAAAAATCAGGTCTTCAAAGAGGCCAATAATTGATGGATCAAGAGCAAGTGATTTTTCTTTGATTCTAAAAGGAGCAAAAGATTTAGCAGGAGTACTTCTTTCTTCATGAATTCAAATCACATATTGAAATCACTTTTAAGAGATTTTTTATAGTTACATTGAATTTATATACTATCCTTGAGGTATCAATTACATAATATCAGCACCTTTGTTGTATTACCCAAACATTGATTTTGTCAATATGTAGTTTTTTTGTTTTGTTTTGTTTTGTTTTGTTTTTGTTTTTGTTTTTTTGAAGGTGAAAAGACAAGAGCATGTTTATGAAGACAAGAGGTAGATTGGTAATCTTCTGATTTGGTTTCAGGGAACAAAGAGTCACTGGAACCCTTGTGTTTATTCTGACTGGTCTGTCAGTCTTTATGGCTCCCATCTTGAAGGTAAATATGTGAAACATTCACCTCTTCTTCTCAGATCAGTGACATATAATTGGACATGTGAAGAGTGGACTTCTTTGTGAGATATTTGCAAGATTCTCATCAGTTCTATAACACACTGAAGCAGGGGTCAAGTAGAGAGAGGGCCTTAAATAACTTGTCTTGATTTCCTTCTCACTCTTTCATCTCTTTCCTTATCCTTAGTTTTGCAGTTATTTGATTGAACCATATTGTTAACAATATTCACACTTTCTGATCTGTGAAAACAGTAGTTTCATGCAATTTAATCAGACTGATCTCCCCTCCTCTACATACATATTTCTATTCTCCTTGTCTCCTATACATTCTTTCTTCTATCACCTTCCATTGCTTATATTCCAAATCTCATTCCTCTTCCCCCAGTAGACTCCTAGATAATACGAGTGATGCAGGATGACCATTTTGAAATTTTTCCGCTAGTCTTAATTATTGCTTTGTTTCTATTTTCTTTGACTCAGCCCCATAATTCACAAAGGTAAATTAGAGTAAAATTACTGATTTATAATTAGAAAGCTTTAGAAATGAACTTTTGAGGAAGAAAAATTATATAGTGTAGGTTGTTTCGAAAATTAGGAGTCAATATATAGGTTTCATTGATGGGATGGGTATCTGCCTAGAGAGATACATGGAAACTATATATGAAACCTATTAAGAAGTAGGAAAAAAACTAAAGAAAGTTAGTGTATACCTCTTCATGAAGCTTCCAATTTTCTTTTGCAAACATTTTTTTTTTCAATCCTATAAACATGCTTGCGAATTATTGATAATTTGTATCTTATGCTTTGTACGACCGTACAAAGCATAAAAGTTACCCATGGACTTGATAGCTATAAACAACCACTGTTAATGATATCCTTCCAAATGTTCTGTTAAAATTTTTATTTTTAAACAATTTTAATTTTAAAGGCTTTTAAAATGTTCATTTAATTACGTAAGTAATCTTCTGAAGAAATCAAATGATATAGAAGTAGAAATAGTGAAAAGCAAAAACCCTCTGTTTCTCTAAAATTAGCAAATTTTATGTCAGTTGCCAATCAGATGAAGTTGAGGAGAGTAGAACTGTTATATCTTTGACCTATAAATAAGACTAAGATTGCCTTCAGGGTATTTAGACTGATGTATACATTATGCAGAAAATACTTGTTAAACAGTTAAAACATATATTTATTCATCTTTTTCCCTTGGTTTCCACAATGTCAATTAACTAGTTTAATTAATTTCTGACTGGATTCATGAGGAAATAGCTCATCTTAAACGTGAGTCATTAAGATTAAAAATAACCTCAGAGAAGTTGGTTCTGATTTTGTACAGAGGACCTTAAAAGAGTTTGGAGCTTATGTTCTGCAGGGACAGAGGGAAGCCTATGGTCACCTTTGCCAGTGCAAAGCAAGTTATGGGATAGGTGTGAAGGGGTGGTGACTTTGACAGCATCGAATCTGCTGCCAAATACATCATGTTCCTCCATTATCCTATAGGCACCAGCACATCAGCTGGTGGAAAGCCTAATGGAAGCGTTACCTTTTAGGCAAGGGAACCTCATTTAGTGAGATCATTTTTAGAGAGTTCATTGCAGACAATTATGAGCCCATGTTGTGAGAGGCTCTTCTAGAAATGAATTTTCCCTGTGGGTTCCTTGAAGGTGGGCTCACTTCGAGCAGCTGCAGAGTTTCTTTTATGAGCTCTGTGCTCAGTCACTAATGAGGGATAAATGGGCAGAAATGTTTTCATCAGTTCTAACTTACTCATCACCTCCCCCATTTTTCTTTTATGTTTATATAATTTCTTTTCATTAATACAGTATAAAATCCTAATTCAAAAAAGTCAGGTATGTTTAAAAGTTCCTTTTGTGTGTATATGTTATAGCAAATTGGCTTTATTCCTAGAGAATCTGACAGTTGAGTAATCATGGATGATTCCAAGGGGACATAGAGAACAGATACTGTATAATTACTATTTTTAGGAGAGATGCAAGACTTACATTTTCAACAACGCCTCTTCCTGTTTTCCCACCCTGCACCCAAATATGGCTGCAGAGGAGTTAAAGCTGAAAGTTTTTTTGTTCTTTACAATGATTCTTTTCACCCCTGATAGGCAAAGTACCTTAGTATTTACAGAAACAGATTAGAATGCAGGGAAAGAAGGCAGAGAGCTGTAAGACATCAGTGAGCATGAGCTTTCTTTTCCTTTGAGCTTCCTTAATTGATCCATACCTGAGCTCTCCTTCATTTAGCTGCTAGTGTCCATGATTGTGGCTATTTCCACCTGGCAATTTTGAGTTAACCCAAAGAGTCATTGTACGAATAAATGAAAAATGCAGTCCGGCAAACATTTCTGTTAAGCAAGATTTTGCCCAAAATGTGGGAAATGAAATTGTTTTGTCAATATACTTTATAGCCCACTTGTACAAAACCTCTATTTGAAAACAAGAATAAAATAGGCAAGCATTTGCAGTTGTGATTCCTTACTTCATTAAGTTGTGCTATTCCTTACTTCAGGAATCACATCTCCTGATAAAGTCAGCTACTTTCAGATAATGTACCATTGAGGTTTGGTAAGTTATGTGCATTTATCACAAATCCCTTGTTATCTCTGAAAAGTCAATACAGGAAGAAGCAGATATTGAGGGTACAGTTTAACCAAAACCTAAGTTATGACTAAGTAAGAGTCAAGATTAACAATTAACCCTAGAATTCACACAGAAAGTGGTGTCAGGGGTCATGTTTTAGTAGGGAACCTTTTTTCCTCTCCTTTGTGACTCTGTTTTTTTAAAGAACCAGAGGACAACTTCAGAGAATCATTTTACTTAAGAGTCTGTCTTTGAAAGAGCAGATCAAATAAATGGGAAAAGAGAAATGTGTTACTTTTACATTTTAAAATGAAATGGCTCAACACCATTTCTGCCAACTCCTTACATCCCTTACAAGTCTAATGGTCTTGGGTAATCCCAGTAATTTTCTTTCATGCATTAAGCAGTGTAGGTAATGTTTCCCCTGTATGTTTATGCAAGCTTACTTTAAATATGAAGTTTTTGGCTTTTATTTTTATCTCTTTGCTGAGATCTGTCTTTTATGTAGAAGAATGTAAGGAATTACAGTTTTAAATTTGTGAGGATACCCCTTGACCCTAGCCAGCAACAGTCATACATGCCTCAAAGCACTGAATCTAACCACTGATTCGGTACTGAACAAGAATAACTGGCATCCCTGGCTGGCTAAACAGTTTAGTTCTGGGTTTCTGCAGCAGAAAGATTGCCTGGTAAGTGAGTATTCTGTGTGGGGAAAATAGAGGACGCTAAAGGTCATTAAAAAGATGAACGTCACTTCCTAGAGCTTTACTTTTCCCATTTTTTCCAGCAAGTCTGAAGAAGTAAAAATCAAGTGAAGTTCACTGCTACTTTTGATGTCTTTGCTTGAAATAGTTTAATTCAAGTTAATTAGGAGTAGTCAAATTTCTCTTTAAGATTTGTTTTGTATTATAAAATCAGGACACCATTTAATTTGTATTTGGAAATATTTGAGCTTTTACAATATGCCACTTTATTCAGCGCTAGAGAAATAAAGTGTAATGATAGAAATGGTGATGGTGATGGTGATGATAGGAGTAGCTGCCATTTATTGAGCTTGGCATTTGATTAAGGGCTTAGCACAGATTTTTAAAATTTAGTCCCTCAAAGAATGACACCTACAAAAATTTGTCTATTTTACAGATAAGAAAAATGATTAATAACTTACCAGGTCACAACGTTCTTAAATAATAGAGTCAAAACGTGAATTCAGGCAATTCTGACATGAAAGCGAATCTCATAACCTTCATGGTTTATAACCATTTAAAACAAAACATAATACTTGCCCTCAAAGAATTCACTTTCATTTTTCATGAGATGATCTTCTTCAGCTTCTTTAATTTCCAATCCTCTCATGTGCAGATAAATACAGCATTTTTACAAACTCCTCATTATACCTCATTCCAGTTTCTTCAATGACTAGGAATCAGATTGCAAGTCAGCTGCTGCTTCCTTACCAGCTAAGATTTTCAAGATTTAAGGGAATTAGGATGTTATTTGAATAGCATGTTTCTAAATATAGTTGTTATCGCTGAAAGGGCAATATTGTAGAACTTAAGTCAGACCAGGGCTTTGAGTCTGACCTTTGCGGCCATTCTTCTGGTCTGTATGACTGCCATTTTTCACCCTGACCACTGAGGACCAAAGAGATTTCTGCTAAGCAATTGTGGGCTTCTCAACTTGCCAGTCAGATTCTCCTCATGATAATTATGACGTTAATACCCCATTTGTCACTTATTATCTATTCAGAACCAGGCCCTGGATTAGATATTTTATGTGATATAGTCTTTATCATAGCCTCTTTTAAATGACAATACTGAAGATAAGTTAATAATTTTCTCAATGTTACAGAACTGGTAGGGCCAGAATTTGAAAACAGGTCTGTCTGACTTTTGTGCCCATGCTCTTAATCAGGATCTCGTTCTGGGTTTTACATGCACATGTGCACGCGCGCGCGTGCACACACACACACACACACACGCATGTACATACATACGATGACCATTATTCTGCTAGGAGGTCTCACTGCTGTACTGAATTCTGGGCTGGACATTAAATTTACCCTTTTCTCATTTCCTCTTCTGGGAATATTAAAATACTATTAGCACATCATAGGGAGGCATAAGTGAAAAAGAGTAGAAACGAATTCACCAGAATTTGAAAAATTTGGTGACATGGTCTCTGATTATGTGAAATCCTATTTTGATTTTATCCAAATTTGGTGACATGATCTGAATATGTGAACTTCTATTTTAATTTTATCTCAATTATTCCATCTTGTTGTAGGAACAATACTTGATTTCATATATGGTAATCTTATTTATGATTATAGTTTTGTGCATTTGGGGTTTGTTTGGTTATCTATAAAATTTCCTTTACATAATTTTATCATTTGGCAATTCTTGGTATACTTTGTGTTTTTTATGTTTTAATTACTCCTGTCTTGCTTTGTAAAATTATCTGCTATTATTAGGTATATTATATTGGTTTAACTTAAGATGGAGTTCCATCTTCTTAAAGCACATCTTCTCTTTATTCCTTTGAGAAATTTCTGTTGCAAGAAATGATTATTTTGTGATGAATTTTTAAGGGTTGACCTCATGTAACTCATGAACTAAATCCAATAAAAAATATACTCTCATCCGGTAATTCTATTAAGTTTCACCAAGATTTCCATATTGAAAGATTTTTATTGAGAGGTTGCACTATTTTAAGGAAAATGGCAAATTTCATAGGATATATTTGCATCACATTGAAGTTGGCCAAAAGTCAACTTAGTAGCCTTCTTTATATGTATTATTTCCTTTCCAACAAAGAATAACTGTTTAAAAAACATTTTCATATCTAAAGCTATTTTTCTACCCACCCCCCATGCCATTCTGTTACTGATACCTTCTGATTTTATTTTGCTGTAGATCTGGTGTTATCATAATCATAAATTCACAGAGAATGGACCTAAACACCAAGGCACAACTGTCCTTCACTTTGACATCAGAACCACGTTAGAAAAAACCTGTAGCTAAGCCTAGCTTAGGGATGAGGATGGGGCCAGGGATGGTCCCTTTTGTGCTGGCTTTCTTTCAAACTAGAACAATGCTTTACTCAGATGAAAAAGTAACTACTGCAGGAATCTAACTAGTTTTCCATGATTGAACTATACTTCTCTGGTCCCTTCATTTCTTTCCTTCCAGCTACCCCACCCCCACTGCTCACCAAATTAAAAATGAAATGACAAGAAAGAAAGGTGGAAGATGTTTAAAAAATGAATCAAAGCTATTAAATGATCCTTTTTTTTGACTTTTTTACTTTTTGGTACATTTATACACAAGAATCACAAGGAATAGAAACATGCACATTGCAAAAGAAATGAAGGCATGTGTGAGAAGAAAAGAGGCTTGAGTGTGATGTGTTCACCTCTTTGTGGTGACTGTTGGGTATTACAGCTTCCCCAGCAGTAACTTCATCCCTCCTATCCCCATCATTTTTTTTTTCTGACGTCAAGATCAAAATTAGCTACATTAAAAATGTTGTCTTTTTTTTGAAGAAGCATTTTATGTTTTATATATGTAAATAAGTATATTTCATATAAATTTAAGCATCCCCATGGCTAACCAATAACAATTGGAAATATTTGTTACCTATTTTAGAATTTACTCATTCTCTAATAGTGGCCGAAGAGTCTCATTTGCCTTACTACTTTCGACAGTCACAAGGAGAGGCTGATAGAAATTGTGCTTCACTTAATACATGCAGTATTTTAAAAATTACTCTAAAGCCATACTATGTTTTCTGGTTACAGTAGCCTCCTTTATGTGGATTTGGTAAGGCTGGTCTTAATTGACTTGTGGTTTTAGTATTTTAGCTTTGAAAAATCCTGAAATTACTTGAACTTCTTTTTAAATTCTAAGGTTGAGAACCTTTTGTTTTTCAAACAGAAGTATTCCTGGAAACAGAATCATTTTTTATTTGCTTAGTTTCTTTAGTCCTAGGGGACATTTCAAAGGTCTAGCAATAGATACAGTTTACAAACATCACTTCTTCTTGTTAAAACACTTTGTATTAATATAAAATATTTTGGTGAGTTAATGCATGAAAGGTATTAATTCAGTTTTAAAGATTAATTCAGTTTGAAAGGTATTAATTCAGTTTTACATATCATGTGTGTAATTAATTGCTTCCAGATGCTCCTTTCAAGCAGTGTTCTCTTTAGTAAGGTCTCATAATGTTCCTAAGAAGAAAGAGGACAGTATTTTGATTTTTATTTTATTGAAGACATATATACATCAAGATGATAAATAATTTGGCAAAAATTATTAAGGATAAAAATCGACAGACTGTATTGAAAGGAACTTGGTCTCAAGAGTGAGGCAACCATCTATTAATACCTCTATTTTTGTCTACCTCACAGTTCACACAAGTATCTGGTTTACATTTCAGGGTGAAGGAAAACAGAACTTTTCCTTCATTAATTTAAAAAAAGTTGTTATTTAGGTACATACTTACTCAAAAAACAAGCATCCAATGAAAATTTAAAGTCCTTTTAACCCTTGATTTATTGCTAGTACAAAGAGTTCAAAAGTTCATCAATTAATTAATAAAGCATACTAGTTAGAGGCCACTGTGTTATGATAGCCTGTATTTTAGTTTTAGATTTAGTCTTTATTTAAATGATTCCTCCTCATTCCTTTTTTCTTATTGTTTTTAACTTTTATCCATTTTTTTTTCTTTCTAGTTTATACCCATGCCTGTACTCTATGGTGTGTTCCTATATATGGGAGTAGCATCCCTTAATGGTGTGCAGGTAAGTTTTTCCACGGTAATATAAGCACAGTCGTGTTTTTCTAATAGTAAGACTAGTCCAGTAACAGATCTTTGAAGAAAAGTGCTAATCATTAACTGCTAAATTTTAAAAATACATTTATTTTCTACTTCATCATTCAGCTGCTTTTTATTTCTGGTTTAATTGACAAGTTAGTCAGTATTAACAGAAGTTACCATACATACCCATTCTTTAAATAAGCTATTAAAAGTCATTTGATCAAGAAAGTGAGAGGCTATAATCTTTCTTTTCCTCCTTCTTACCCATATTTATCTCTGTTTAGCTGTCTCAGGAAGGATATCTAACTCTTTCTGTGTGTTCTTCAAGATGGTATTTATTCATTTGCCTTAACTCTATACCAAGAACAGGCTATTCTTGATTTGCTTTTCACATGTCTATGAGCAATAATCAAAAGTTTTTTACCAGTAAAAGAATAAAGTCAATGTGGTTTATGTATTCCTTTTGTTGAAAACTTCAGCTATTCATAACTTTGGGAAAACATCATTATCAGCTGGGCACAGTGGTGCACACTTTTAGTTTCAGCTACTTGGGAGGCTGAGGTGAAAGGATCACTTGAAACTTTTGAGTCCAGCCTCAACAACATAGTAAGACTCTGTCTCTTTAAAAAAGAGAATCATTAGGGAAAACTTTGTAAGTGACTTTGTCTTTCAATTGGGTTTTAATTTATTTGGCACCAGGAAACTGGAAGTGCTTATGCTGTTTTCTGGCACCTTGTTAACTGTAGCCTTATTTAGCACTCAGTAATATTTTAATGGGAAAAGACTGCATGTCCTGTGAACATCATAAGAATTTATTTGAACCCCTTCAAAATAGTCCTTGATTTTGCTTATTGAATTCAGATTAATTTGGTTTTAAAGTCAGATAGAAATGGGGAGGTGGCCAGATCACTAAAAGGAGAAAAGGCTACTTTACTGTTCTCTGTTTAGGTCTGCTAAGTAGAGTTCATCATCATATGGATATTTGTTACAAAATACAAGGTGGTTCTTCATAGACTGGACTATATGAATGTGAGTTTATTGCCCATGAGACTTTGGGAAAGTATAAATTTGTAAAAGTATTTTATTTTTATCTGCCATGGTAAATATTCCTTATTTCCCCAAATGGAAAAATATGAAACTAAAATGGCTCCTAGACAAATAGTTCTTATTTTTCTTTGCCCTTAATGACCTGGTCTAGATCATAAGTTTAATTCTATGTGTTTTAAGGGCTTTATTGGTTGAAACTCAGTACATATTTGTTTAATAAAAAAGAAGAGGCTGGGCATGGTGGCTCACGCCTGCAATCCAAGCACTTTGGAGACCAAGGCGGGCGGATTACTTGAGGTCGGGAGTTCAAGACCAGCCTGACCAACATAGTGAAATCCCATCTTTATTAAAAAAAAAAAAAAAGAAAAGAAAAAATCAACCACATAATAATGATGGGGAAAAACAACCAGGGACAGCTAGTAGATTTCTTAAATTCTGCAAAGCTACTACCCCTAATGGCTTTTCTGTTTTTCTTTCTTTCTCAATTCTCCCTTGTTTAGACATTTTTGGTGAGATTTGACTTAGCAAGAAATTTTGTAACCGGAACTTTATAAAGAGAAGGTCCCCACCAGTCAAAAATAGTTCTAGAGGGAAAAAGAAAACCCTTTAAGTAGGAAATCACTAGAGAAGATTGTGATAGTCTAGTTTACTTTTACACTTCTTTCCTTCCAGAAAGAAAATAGAGATTATTTCAGAGCTCATATTCTATGATTATACAATTCAATAGCTATTTACTGAGCATCTTTCGCTGAAAGATCCTGTGATAGGTTCTTGAATATCTTCCCATTTGTCATTGGCAATGTCAATTCAGCAGTTGTTCTTTGAGGCACAGTACCTGGCACATAGATGCTCAGTAGTTATTTCAATACCTGTTTATACATGACCATATGATAGCCTCTCTTAGATTCAGATGTCAACCCTGAAACTCACTGTAGTATTCATATGGCTTTTCTCTGAAAAGAAATGGTGATATATTGCTGAGTGTATTCGTCAAGTTATGTCACTCAAATAATATGGAATTTATGAAAACATAATGTATTCCCATTTTTAAGTTGGATACTTCCTTTATATCCCTAAAACATTCCTGAAATGTATTAATATATGATGCATAGTATCATCTCCTATTTTTTCAGATAAGGCAACTGAGGCAGAGTAGGATTCATGAGTTAGACATCTTCCTTCAGCATATTATTACTATAATAGGCAAAAGATCCTCTCTCCCAAGACTCAGAGAGTAAAAATAGAAACCAGGAGATGAGCTTCTAAAATTTATATTTTTCTTTATGACTTAATTCTCTAGTGGACAGTTTTTCTTATACCTCTGCATAACATTCCTGCAATATAACAACAAAAATTTGAAGACTTGTGCTTTAGTGTGCTTGACTCCATTTCTGTTATTCCTTGACCATTCCTTTGTCCTCTGAAAAGGACATTTGCTTGCCTAAATTATATAATATAAATCAGTAGTGATTAGTTAGATATACTGGAAATGATTTCGTGTATCAGCTCTTGAAGTAATACAGTTGGACTCCTTTCCTCTTTCCTGCCCAGTTCATGGATCGTCTGAAGCTGCTTCTGATGCCGCTGAAGCATCAGCCTGACTTTATCTACCTGCGTCATGTTCCCCTGCGCAGAGTCCACCTGTTCACTTTCCTGCAGGTGTTGTGTCTGGCCCTGCTTTGGATCCTCAAGTCAACTGTGGCTGCTATCATTTTTCCAGTAATGGTAGGGATTCATTTAATTGAATCTACCTATGAGATTATATGGATATCATGTGGTTATTGTTATATGGAAGACACACATCTCTTTTATGTGTGGTTTCAAATTTTTCCAGCTTTGACCTCATCACTTTGATCAGTTGTAATTTACATTTCCCATGTCTATGGTTGTTTAGGATGGACCTTAGAATCAGGCTCACATGAGTTCAAATACTGGCCCTGGTCAATACTAGTCAGTAAACTTCTTTGAACTATTATTAACTCATCAGTAAAACAGGGGTTGCATTGTTGTTTTTCTGATCATCAAAATTGAATATCAAGCATGTAGCACAATGCCTGACACACAGTAGACACCAGTACATGCTAATTACTTTTTAAATGTTGTTGTACAATACAATTAATCTAAGTAAGAGTGTAGGACATTTCAAGCAATAAAGAAGTGCTTGACAACTTGTAAGAACGCATCCAATACGTTAGAAGAAATGGAGCGAGAAGTTCAGTTTTTAAATTTCTTGTGGTATGCATAATGCTAAGTTTAAAGATAAGGTGGGGACACTCTATCCTTGTCATTACAGAATTTTATAATTCACCATAAATCTGTATTTTTTGCAAGAAAATGCATATATATACACTTAAGACACAAAGGGAACCTTGAGTCTATTTTATCTCCCCTGCAGCTTTGAAAACAAGAGTTTTCATACACTTGCCGCATTTTATTTTTATAAAAATCATCTTACTCTTAGCCAGGATTATTATTTTACTTTTTATATTTGTTGTTTGAATTTTTTCTTCTCCCAAGGATGCAAGAAAAAAGTGGATATTAAATACTAGTGATATTTGTTAGGTTGGATTTTCTTTTCCTTAATGGTCCCTTATGTCTTTCTTTCCTTTTTTTTTTTTTAAATAAAAAACTGTATTTACTGAAAAACACACTGACTGTAAGAAGCAACTCAAATTAACCTACTAGTCTTATCTACTTGCCTACAAATTTTGCTGAATCCAGGAAAATTGAAGCTAGAACAGGATACATTTGAATTATATCCAATAAATCACTTTTTGCCTATGCTAAATAATAATTTTTAAATGCTTTACTTTTCTAAAGTGTTTTTATCGTTTCAGAACTTTTATTTGGTCACAGTGTAATTCTGTAACAAAAGTTAGATTAGATGTTATTTATATCTTTAGGTGATGAGGAAACTGTCGTAGAGAGCATGATGCTGATAAAGACAGCTGCTTAATTTGAAGCAAGTCAGGATGCCTATGACTTGACGCATATTAAATTTAATGTGGAATAAAGATATCTTTAATGTACCTTCAGAAGTCTTTCTTCAAGAGCAATTCATAGAACCAAAAATCCACAGGTCAAGAATATTTGTTTTGGAAGCAGACAAGTGGGACCCTTTGTATTATTATGATCTACAATCATCTCCTTCACAGACATTAAGGATCTTGGATAACATACTTAATGTCTCTAACCTTCAATTTCCTCAACTGTATAATGGAACTAATAATACCTACTTTTGAAGTTTGTTAAGAATAAATGAGATAATATTGCCTAAGAGTTTAATAAAGTGTCTGGCATATGTTAACTGTTTGGTTAATGGTGGTGATTGAAGTACCCTTTGAATATTCAGATACTACTTTATTGTGAATACTTAGAAGATGTCTTAGTGTTCTATGTATTGTACAGATTTTCTTGATTGCTAAAAACTTTTATAATGTTTTAATTTTTAATACTTAATCATATGCCAGCTATTTGTTGACTTTCAACTTTTATTTAAAATCTCACATAGAAGGAAATGGTTTTGAAAAAAATACTTTCATAATAAAATTCTAATTGAATGTGATTATGCATTTCAGTGAACAAAACAAAGTGAGTTTCAACTAAGACTTTTATGAAACAACATTCCCCATGAGAAATTTATTAGAGTTAGCTTGGTATAAGTTCATATAGTCAAGATCAGGTTTGTCATACACAAAGTAATTTGGCTTACACAAAGTAGGTTTCTGTGGAATTTGATGGGATGTTATCTATGCGCACTGCACCTTCATTTAACACGGTTTCTTTCATACTTTTAATATTTGCCCTTTCAGATCTTGGCACTTGTAGCTGTCAGAAAAGGCATGGACTACCTCTTCTCCCAGCACGACCTCAGCTTCCTCGATGATGTCATTCCAGAAAAGGACAAGAAAAAGAAGGAGGATGAGAAGAAAAAGAAAAAGAAGAAGGGAAGTCTGGACAGTGATAATGACGATGTAAGAAACTTTACAAATTCCAAAGGAAAGCTAGTTAAAGAAACAGATGTGAAAATGATCCCTTTTTATACCTGATGTGAAATGGAGGGCCAAGTTCTAAGAATGTTTATCTGGACATGTGGCATATTACTCATTTCACCTCCCTTTGAGCTTTATATTCTCTCTTTGGTTTTTTATATTTTCTGAAGTCTTTCTGTAACCATTAATACACTAATAATGACATAATGACTAATAATGACTTCTAAAAAAATTTAAAACTCACCACATTTAAGAACTCTGATCTCATAGATATAAAGGAAGTTTACTTAGCAATACTATAAAATGTATTTTGTTTCTATTAATAATCCAGGGCTTATATTTGAAATAATAACTCAATTTTATGTAATTTTAATCCTCATGTGGATAGACGTCAGTGATCTCATTTTGTGTGAACTATGAATCTATTTGAGTAGGCTTTCCACCAAAGTTCTATGCTGTTATATGAATATTAGCACTGTATTTATGCTAATATGATTTAACATTATTTTTCTGTAGCTCTTCAGTAAAAAGAAAAGGGAACTGGAGTTTGGGGTCTTTTTACGTAATTATAATGGTTAGTGTCATGATCCAGAGGGTCCTCTTGCACTTAGGGGATTAAGTTGAGAAAATTATTGTCCAGTTTTTTCTTTAGGTGACCAGCTCACAGAATACAGATTCTCCACTAGGGACAGTAATCCATGCTAGAAGAAAAGCTGGGATTTATTTTCTTTAACACATGTAATAACACCTTTTGAAAAGATTGCCAAAATAATATTTTCCATTTGAAAATCTGTTCTGGATTTTACACAGTGCAGTCTCACAAATGATTTTTTTGTGCACCAGTACCCATTCTAAAGTAGGAATATTGTTAATTTTTAGTTTCTACTTAGTACTTGATGACTTTGATCATTGCATACCTTATCCTTAATTGTCTTAATAGCTTGTTATACAGTATTTATTTTTTGCTCCCATTTTACAGATGAGGAAATTTAGACTGAGAAATGTTAAATATTTAAAAATTTTTCAAAAAGTTTTAATGAGGTATGGTTGACATAAACTTGTATATATGTAAGGTGATGCTTTGACATATGTATTTAAGTCATTTGTCTAATTGTACACAGCCATAGTGGCAAAGCTACAACTCGAATCCAGGCCTCTCTGGTTAGTTCCAACTGATCAGGCTGTCTGACTGTATTCTTTTTGTAGAACTTGGAAATAGTACAGTGAAAGAAGGCAAGAGACGTAATTGGATTTCACATAAATTGATTCAATAAGCAAAAGACTTAATGCATGAGGCACATTTAGCTAAAGAGCAAAAGAGGTGAAGAGAGCTTTATGACTGTCATCATCCATCTGCAATGAGAACAGGTATATAGATTTTGTTTCCAATGATGACAGAAAAGGAATGCATTTTAACTGTAGCAGAGATTAAGATGTAATAGAAGAATGATGCATTTATACATTTAATACAAATTAAAATTTGAAATGAATTTCTGGACCACTCAAGACCAAAAAAAAAAAAAAAAAATAGGTTGCCTGAAATATTAAAATAATTGAAGCAGTATTTTTTCCAGAATAAGTATGTCAACTTATGTACATGGACCTCAAATTTAAAGTTCATTATACATTGTGAATGTATGAATGTACAAAGAGGGAGATTATGGAATACCCCTCTAATGATTTTTAAGAAAAAATAGTAAAATACCAAATCTGGAGAATGTTTTAAATATACTGCTCTTGAGTGACAAAAGTTGGATCAAATGAACTCCTTAGAAGTTCTTCCAATTCTTAAATATGATTTCCAACAAATCCTATTCCATTTAAACAGTGTTTTTTAATATGAATATTTACCATTTTCAACTCTGTGTTTCCAACAGATTTCTTGAAGCCAAAGTGTCGTACTTGATTTTTTCCCTCTTCCTTTTCATCCTACCCCTACCAAAACAAACAAACATATACATTTGTTCCTAGGCACTGAATCCAGCCAGGCAATTTAGAGTACATCTGTGCAGTGTGTTCTGTGGGTTGAGCTAATTATTGAGGGCTCCATATTTGGAACATGGTCCTCCTAAGTTTGCCTCTTAGTCACATGGTTTGGGATCTATGGATACAGGAAGTCACAAGGGGACATGCGGGTAACAGCTATAAGGTAATATTTATGAGCACATATAGTGAAAATTGTGGCTTGCCAACATTTTGAGCCCCTCACAGTCATTTTCTAATCTGCTTGGTAGGCTGTGATTAAGGGTGGGCTGCAACCTGTCCATGTATAATTGCTATTATTTTGGAAAATATTTGAAAAACTATAACGTCTTACTGTTTTTGACATTCTCATAAAGGTAAGTGCATGTGGCATCTTTTTATTATTATTATTATTATACTTTAAGTTCTGGGATACATGTGCAGAACATGCAGGATTGTTACATAGAAATACACTTAGCATGGTGGTTTACTGCACCTATCAACCTGTCATCTACATTAGGTATTTCTCCTGATGCTATCCCTCCCCTAGCTCCCAACAGGCCCCAGTGAGTGATGGTCCCGTCCCCTTGTTGATGTGTTCTCATTGTTCAACTCCCACCTATGAGTGGGAACATGCAGTGTTTAGTTTCCTGTTCCTATGTTAGTTTGCTGAGAATAATAGTTTCCAGCTTCATTCATGTCCCAGCAAAGGACATAAACTCATCCTTTTTATGGCTGCATAGTTTTCCATGGTATATATGTGCCACATTTTCTTATTCAGTCTATCATTGATGGGCATTTGGGTTGGTTCCAAGTCTTTGCTATTGTGAATAGTGCTGCAGTAAACATATGTGTGCATGTGTCTTTATAAAAGAATGATTTATAATCCTTTGGGTATATACCCAGTAATGGGGTTGCTGAGTCAAATGGAATTTCTATTTCTAGGTCCTTGAGGAATCGCCACACTGTTTTCCACAATGGTTGAACGAATTTACACTCCCAGCTACAATGAAAAAGTGTTCCTATTTCTCACATTTGCTCCAGTATCTGTTGTTTCCTGACTTTTTAATGATCACCATTCTAACTGGCATGAGATGGTATCTCACTGTGGTTTTGATTTGTATTTCTATAATGACCAGTGATGATGAGCTTTTTTTCATATGTTTGTTGGTTGCATAAATGTCTTCTTTTGAGAAGTGTCTGTTCATATCCTTTGCCCATTTTTTGATGGGGTTGTTTTTTTTTCTTGTAAATATGTTTAAGTTCCTTGTAGATTTTGGATATTAGCCCATTGATGAATAGATTGCAAATTTTTTTTCTCATTCTGTAGGTTGCCTGTTCACTCTGATAATAGTTTCTTTTGCTGTGCAAAAGCTCTTAAGTTTAATTAGATCCCATTTGTCAATTTTGGCTTTTGTTACCTTTACTTTTGGTATTTTAGTCATGAGGTCTTTGCCTGTGTCTATATCCTGAATGGTATTGCCTAGGTTTTCTTCTAGGTTGCTTATGGTTTTAGGTCTTATGTTTAAATCTTTAATCTGTATTGAGTTAATTTTTGTATAAAGTGTAAAGAAGGGATCCAGTTTCATTTTTCTGCATATGGCTAGTCAGTTTTCCCACCATCATTGATTAAATAAGGAATCCTTTCCCATTGCTTGTTTTTGTCAGATTTGTCAAAGATCAGATGGTTATAGATGTGTGGCATTATTGCTGAGGTCTCTGTTCTGTTCTGTTGGTCTATATATCTCTTTTAGGACCAGTACCATGTTGTTTTGGTTACTGTAACCTAGTAGTATAGTTTGAAGTCAGGTAGCGTGATGCTTCCAGCTTTGTCCTTTTTGCTAATGATTGTCTTGGTTCTATGGGCTTTTTTTTGGTTCCATATGAAATTTAAAGTAGTTTTTTTCTAATTCTGTGAAGAAAGTCAATGGTGGCTTGATGGAGATAGCACTGAATCTACAAATTACTTTGGGCAGTATGGCCATTTTGATGATATTGATTCTTCCTCTCTATGGGTGTGGAATGTTTTTCCATTTGTTTGTGTCCTCTCTTATTTCCTTGAGCAGTGGTTTGTAGTTCTTCTTTCAGAGGTCCTTCACATCCCTTGGAAGTTGTATTCTTTGGTATTTTATTCTCTTTGTAGCAATTGTGAATGGGAGTTCACTCATGATTTGGCTCTCTGTCTATTATGGGTGTATAGGAATGTTTGTGATTTTTGCACTTTGATTTTGTATCTTGAGACTTTGCTGAAGTTCTTATCAGCTTAAGAAGATTTTGGGCTGAGACGATGGGGTTTTCTAAATATATAGTCATGTCATTTGCAGAGACAATTCGACTTCCACTCTTCCTATTTATCTCTTTATCTTGCCTGACTTTATCTCTTCTCTTGCCTGACTGCTCTGGCCAGAACTTTCAATACTATGTTGAATAGGACTGGTGAGAGAGGGCATCCTTGTCTTATAATGTCTTTCAAAGGGAATGCTTCCAGCTTTTGCCTATTCAGTATGATATTGGCTATGGGTTTGTCATAAATAGCTCTTATTATTTTCAGATATGTTCCATCAATACCAGGTTTATTGAGAGTTTTTAGCATGAAGCGGTGTTGAATTTTATCGAATGCCTTTTCTGCATCTGTTGAGATAATCATGTGGGTTTTTTTGTCATTGTTTCTGTTTATATGGTGGATTACATTTATTGATTTGCATATGATGAACCAGCCTTGCATCCCAGGGACGAAGCCGACTTGATCATGTGGATAAGCTTTTTGATGTGCTGCTGGATTCTGTTGCCAGTATTTTATTGAGGATTTTCGCATTGATGTTCATCAGGGATATTGGCCTGAAATTTTCTTTTTTTGTGTGTCTCTGCCAAGTATTGGTATCAGGATGATGCTGACCTCATAAAATGAGTTAGGGAGGATTCCCTCTTTTTCTGTTTATTGGAATAGTTTTAGAAGGAATCGTACTAGCTCATGTTTGCACCTCTGGTAGAATTCCTCTGTGAATCCGTCTAGTCCTGGG